CAATAATCTTTGAGAATCATATATTCTTCAAAATTCTTACTAGACTGGTTTCTGTTTGCCGTTTTAAATTATACAAACATGGTAAAATTCAGATTCTTGTACTAACAGACAAGTCAGCAAATCAAGCAACGAAAACGTATGACCGTATGGTTTGAAATATTTGCGTTTTTAATATTCTCTCGGGGTTCGGGCGCAATATTTTCATTTCATACGTACGTTTCTGTCCTGGCTCTGCCTCTGGTTCAGATATTTACAATATTCTTATAATATGCCATTGAATTGTTGTCATATAGAAAAGAAACGGTATAAATTTTGTAAAATAGAGGTATCAAAAGCGACTGACAAAATTGTTTGGAATCGACACTCGACAGTGCACTTTTTTGTCTTCACGACTACCTGTTTGTTGAGCCAAAATATTGCACAGAATCTCCTATAATAAATTATAGCTATCGCCATTCACCCTCCCACCCTAAATGCAAAGGAATGATATCCGAAAAGATTTAGCAAAGTATTTGTTATAATTTATATCTGGTACGAAGTGTCCCTATACGTTTTATCAGGGATATATATTTATATATACATAATTCATAAACTGTATATGCGCACCAAGTCTCGCTCCGAGTAGAATTACTTAATGAGTTTTATTAAGCCTCAGTAAAGTTTCTATTGATACTGATAGATAGGTTGTTTGCTTACAGTTACGAAGTATCGTTTGGTGAAACTTCTAAAATTTCAATTACAGTTACGACACAGTATAGGGGTATATACGATAAAGATTAAAGACTTAAAGTTGATTTAAATATTGATGACTCACAGCGGCATTATACAAGTCGAAAGAAGCTGGATTTTAAGTTGGATTATTCTTCAAATAATGCCTGGGCATTAATACCAATGCCAATGAAAGGTCTTTATACGATTCATAATGTTTACTGCAATATATGATATAATTTAGTCTAGTGCATATATCGTATTCAAGTTGTACCGCACGCACCGAGGAATCTTGGCGTGTGATAACAGTATACTGTAGCTGTACTTCGACATATATCATTCTTGATCGTTGAGCTGTTTCAGCAATGTAAATAAAAGGAATAACGGGTTTTAATCCTGTGCTTACTGTAATTCACAGTCAAAACAGCACTATTGTTTTTATATACACAGTTGGCGATGTTCAGTACTTCAGTTGGGAAATCAAAGGATCCCGTTATAAAATAAATCCTTTGTTTTGAATATCGGACAGGATACATTTCAACTATAAACAACCATATCATATCGTTCGTTTTATATAAATACCGTTTGATCGATCAGTCGGTGTAGAAGATATCAGATATGTATGTTTATACGGCGATCTGATGCGTGCTCACTAGCCAGGCGCGTGTGGAGTATATTTTTCCTTGCAAGTGAAATATGATCCAGCTTCTCGCTTGAAATGTACCGCAGCACTTATTATTGATGACATTCAATATAGCAGGAAATCTTGTCATGATGAGGACGAATTTAGAACAGTATAAATCATGTTTATTAATACATGTAAAGTGAAGTATACAGCACTAATGCATCTGGGGAATGTCAACTACTACATTCCCACCCTTCCCAGATTGACAAAACAACGCTAATTAAAAATCTGCTAGATTTTAGCAAATCACGTGACCAGCGTCCACCAGGGTCTTTGCTTCCCAAGAGCAAATACCCTGGGAACGAGGTTGGATTGAGTTATGCGTGACCGCTATCTTTTTTAGGAAATCTCTGCGGTGTCTAAGGCAGCGTTTACACCGTACCGTTTTCGTAGTGTTCTCGTATTTTTCGAGAGAACTAGACTATTGTCTTGCGTTCCCTTGAGGATTAAGAACAATACGAGAACGCTACGAAAACGGTACAGTGTAAATGCTGCCTAAGGTACTTAATCTCCGTAGTAATACAAGGGTTATAAGTGCTTCTAACTTTCTTTTGTCTTAGAGGTGCATGCTTATTAGCTAAAGAGAGAAATATAGTTTTCCATACATTCCAAATCTCATTTGGGTCATCAAGATGGTAAACATCATTACCAGCAAAAGCTTGATTTAAATCATTTTCAAATGCTCGACTGTTAAAATGTTTAAATTGCCTAGTTTCAACAATTTTTGGTTTTTCTCTTTGGGTACTAATTTTGCGACAAGTATACACCAGACTATGGTCGCTAACTCCAAGGGATATGACTCCAGAAGCAGTAACATTCGTATTTCCCAATTGAGTTATAATAACATCTATCAATGTTCTTGTTTTAGCTGTTACACGTGTAGGTTTCTTAATGAGTTGTTTTAACTGATAAACATCCAATATTTCAATTAATTTTTTTTGTACTTGAACTTGCCGTATTTGTATACAAATCGCAATTCAAATCGCCTAGAATAATCAATTCCTTATGTTCTGCCTCGGCCTTTTGCGCAAATTCTTCAAACAAATCGAATACTTTTGCATGCGAATCAGGAGGTCTTTACAAAGTCAAAATCAAAATTGGCCGACTCATACGTAGCGTTAATTCAATACAGATTGCTTCAAGATCTTTTTGAATTAGATCGTCTCGTAGAGTGTACGAATAGTTATTTTTGACAAGAAAAGCAACCCCTCCGCCTCTTCAATTCCTATCTCGTCTAATTATCTCATAACCTGGAATCTGAACCATGTTATTTTGAATTGTCTCATCTAATCTCGTTTCATTTAAACTTAATATTTCAAATGGTAGTTGTTGGAGAAATAATTTTAATTCGTCTAAATGTTTTGGAAGGCTAGTTATATTCACATGGGCAAATTTTAATCCCCTTAGTTTCGGATAAATAACTTTATTATTATTTTGCTTTGGTAAATTGGAACTGTTGATAGGCGGTGGTTTGCAATTCGTCAAGTCCAGTCAATAGTTATCTATATTGTTAGTTATATGCAATTTGATATTTTTTGCTAATATAGCAGAGCCACGTTTGTTTAAGTGTAGTCCATACGGATTCAAATGCATATTACTGATATTACTGTTGTCAATAAGACCCCAATTCTCTTGTTCGCAAAGATCTTGTATGCATTTGTTGACTTCAACTAATTTATTTTGCAATCTTGTGTCATCACTTCTAATTATTATCTGTGAGAGTGAGACATCAGTGCCGGGGTTTTCTTGTTTTGCCTGATTGCCCAGGTTTTTTAAGTTGTAAATAATTTCAGCCGGTGATTTTGTTTTGAGATCATTCGTCCCAACATGAATAATAACTTGCTTCGGTTTTAAAGCAAGTGTCGGCTTTATATAGTGAGCCATTTCGTCGGTTCTACACCCAGAAAAAGTACGAACAGTTACCTGTTTGTTTGTGCCATGACGAAGTTTTCGGACATCAACATGCTTAATCATGGAGTCACCCACCAAAACTACATCACATTGTTGTTTCTTCGGTTGGATAGTATCACGTTGGTTGCTGATTGGTAAGGAATTTTGCTTTGTGTCTTGGATATTTCTTAGGGTGTTTTTCAATCGTCTTTTCTTTTCGTGGTCTATAGTTGGAGTCTTCTTCGGAACTAAGGTTTGATTATTTCCAGCGTCACCGCTCATTACTGCCTCATCGTCGTCTTCAATTTGCCAGGTAGAGTACTTATTGCTCAAATTTATATGGTGACCAACACTTTGACTTGTGGTTTTGCGGCCAGCTATTTGCCATGAGCTCCGTATTTGTTGCGCTTGACTAGATTCATCCTTATTTGAACAGATTACAGTGGCTTGCTCTTCATTCAGCAACCTAATAACAGTTAAGAGGCTTGATTTCTCACTTTCAGTATCCGTCAGCTTTGTATTTAGTTCGGTTAAAGTATCTTTACATTTTGTTAGTTCTGTTTGAAGAGCCTTGTTTTCTTCTTTCAATAATCTATTTTCCTTAGTAAGATTTTCAGTTGCCGTCGGACTTTTTTGATTTTCATATATATTAACAAGTTCGTTTAGAACAACAGACGTCTCAGTTCGGTGTTTTTCGAATTGGCGCGTTAATGAATCCAAAAGTTTAACGACATTTTGAAGCACACTCTCTTCATCGCATGAAACGCTTTCTTCACAGGCCTGAAAACTTCCATTTGTTGTGTCGTTGTCGGATAGGCTGATAGCGCGAGAGTCCTGCAAATCTAACACTTCAACTCCCGCCAAGTTCGAATTTACCATGAAGTCATTAATATTCTTTAGGGAAGCATTTTGCGGAGGCGTAGTTTCATCTACGCCCAAATTTTCAGCATTTACCAGCAGTTGTTTTGATATAGAAGCTTTAGCGAATGTCTAGGTCTTTGTTCTTAAACTGCTTCGCTTCGCCGCCAGGACAAATCCAAATGCCGTTAGCGATATTCAAAACTTCTTCGACAAACAGCTTCAACGATTCTAGCGAATCGGCCCATATCAGCTTGCCTTTATCGTTCGTTGATATGCCACGCAAAAGGCTAACTCTATAGCCTTGAGTGAAGCTCGATTCTGAATTTTGCATGTTTTTGTTGGAGCAATTTTTAGCACGTCGACTTCCCTTTGAGAAATGATGTAATAGCCAAATTCTATCAAATTTCAGCGGCTGTCGAGTCTTCAAATCGCGGTTGGTAACAAGTTTTATTATAAGTAATAGCATGGCATCAGGGCGATTAGTGATTAAATGTACCCGAAAGCCGAGAGAGGTTTAGTAAAAGTCCCGAGGCGCGTAGCGCCGAGGGACTTTTACTAAACCTCTCGAGGCTTGAGGGACATTTCATCACTAATCGACCGTAATGCCATGCTATTACTTTGTAATATCATAGTTGCCGAGGGAATCGCGCGTGGTGTGTTGCCTGTTTTGAATGCTGTTTGATTGTCTTATGATTGTGGTACGAACACTTTTCACATATACGCACGCGCAGAAACACATCTCCGTGTTCATTCGTTTCAGGCATGCGCATAAACAGAATTTTCTCCCACAATTGAAATGTTCAAGATTAGGGAATAAAAGCTGGCAAAGTGATTGTTCGAATGTGTACGGGACGGTGTCGTCAGATACTGTCCATAGTTGTGCCGATGATTTTCGATGAGGTACAGCTCTCCAATCAGAGGTAATGAGGTACGCTTTTGTCTTCTAAATTTCCCTCATCAAGCATGCAGAGCAGAGGAGGTTCGACAAGCAGGCCGCAAAGCATCATGGGTTTGAGCGCCTAATTCCAGGCGTGGCTTCAATGACTCTTTGACTGTCGTGGAGTGAACATCTCTCTGAGTAAACAAATATGGAAGCATTCGAAATACAAGATTGTCAGGCTGCAAAACGTCGTGAAAATAGCATGTTATTGCTGTACTGTTGTGATCCTCATTATGACTTGTGTTTTACTATACCAAGTTTACCTTATATTGAATTGCATGGCGTGCTATCATTTTAGCACGTGCATTGAATTGACGTGCTATCATTTTAGCTTTATAAATAATCCGTCTGTCAAAGCGAAGGAATTGTGTTTATATTCCGAATAGCGAGGCCCTTCTTTCTAAGTTGGATGCATAGATATCTTATATACACTAGATAGCGCATCTCTCTTAGTAAAATTGAAGCCAAGAATATTCCAGCGGTTACTCCCATTTGAATAGATGGCGGCCATGTTGGTCGTTCCCACTTGCTAATAAACGCTTAAAAACAACAATAACTTTCATCATTTGAAAAGTTTAAAAACGTATTTGGAATAGGGTTAACTTAATGTTTAAGTTCCCTGTTTAAGAAATAGAGAACATACGAATCTCCTCATTTCATGGGAACGACCTGAGACTGCAATCACGGCTTCAATTTTTGAATTGCAGAATAATTAGATGCACTATCTAGTGTATATAAGATATCTATGGTTGGATGGCGTTAAATATCTGTGTATCATCAACGTGAAAACAAGCGTAGTATTTAAGGTTAGTATATTACAATGCATTTAATACAGTTGATTGACTTGTTATTTGGTCAAATTTCCACTTTGCTGTTTTCAATATTGTACTGTAATTTTATAAATACACTGTACAAATATTTATGGCGTAATATTTCTAATAATTTAACCCTTTAGTTTGACCCTACTCCTGATGAGTGTGCTAACGAAAACACCCAGCATATGCTTTTGATTTTGGATTTTGATGTGGATCATATATTGACAGCGAATAGAATTGATGATGAACATTCAGATGATGAACATTTGTTCTCAGATGAGTCTGAAGGTATATTGTTATTCAGTTATTTGTATGGTTTTATACATTTTTGCTGAGTGTGATGCCTGTTTGTATCCAGTTGTGGGTGGTTGTTTAAATGTGCAAACTGTAATTTAATACATTTTTTAATTTTCATCTAAATATTGCTTTTTGTATATTTTTGCTAATTTTAGAGATGACAATGTATCAAACAATAATTTCCTTGTTTAATATGATTTTGTAGAAAGAGATTTACTTGAGTGGTTGGCTGATCTTGAACCTGTTCAAGATGTATATGATAATGAAAGAGGTGATCAAGGTGATAGGGCAGAAAGTGATGACAAGTTACGTGATGAAGACGAAAGTGATGGGGAGGAAGAAATCGTCCACTCTGTACCATTCAAGTGCATCGGTGCTGCTCATGAGAAAAACTACTGACATCATTTGGAAAATTAAGGCATAATACCTCGCTCTTCATGAACAAGATAAAACACTGAATTCAATGTAAGAATACGGCCAGCAACATTGAATCCAAGGGACTCAAGTGCAATGGTCAATTCCAGCTTTTAGGTTATGCATGCAGGGGGTGATGGGAAGTAAGGTATCATATTGCTGATAATGCTGAAAAAATAGAAATGGTGGCCATGTAAACATGGAGTTGTAGCTATTGTAAATATTGAAATATTTTGGTTGTTTAGGCGGTTTATTAAAATTTTTCAGCATAATCAGCAATATGATACCTTACTTCCCATCACCCCCTGCATGCATAAATTAAAAGCTGCAATTGCCTATTGATCTAAACTATGGAACTGTATGGACACATGTTGTTTATTTTGCTTCTGAACTATGCAAGTATTTGCACCAATAATTGCTGCAGGAGATGTCGTGGATGTCTATGTTCAGTGTATCAAGTATAGGGTTGACTTTTTAATTTTATCCAAAAATTTTCATAAAGACACCTGGGGCCGGTTGTTCAAAGGTGGGTTATCACTAACCCTGGGTTAAAATTTAACCTGCTGTTTTAGTTTCTGTACTTCTACACATAGATCTGTGTATTTCACAACTTCAGAGAAGTAAACTCCTATCGATCCAGACAAGATCTCTGAAGAAATATTTCCAAATGTTGACAGATGTTTTTTATATAATAAATAGCAACTACCAAGCTATGTTTAGCAAGTTATTAGTGCATTTATTTCAATTGGCTAACTTCTTTAGTTTTTTCCAGCATTTTTTAAACAAACCATAGGTTATGAATGATAACTGGGTATATCTAATTAAACCAATCTGTCATGTACACTCATGCAAATAAGACTAAGTACATAAATAACTGTAAAAAATGTACTTTAGTAAATAAATGAATATTTATTCATACACTTGACCTACTTTGTGAGTATTTTTTCAGATTAAAATGAGTGCAACAATAAAACAAGAAGATGTCTATTTATATAATATTTATTAAATTGATCAGAGATCCCACTTCAGCTCTGAAACCACTGCCAGCAGGGAAAGATCCCACAATAACATGCCACTTAATTTGTTATATGATACATAAAAACTTATTTTATTGCTTTAAAACAAGTGAAGCTCTCTGCTGGCTTGAAATGGGCTGTTATGACACTGATTTGTCCATGCTGAGGAATCCTCAGCTCGATTTGCCACAAAAACCCTAGTATCAGGCGATCAGCTCGTCTTGAAATACGTACACGATCCAGTCGGCGCAGTCGCGTCGGCCAAAGACAACAAAACTTTGAAAATCGCACAGATATAAATTCTAAAAAAATATTAAAACAACTCCTAAGTCTTCTAAATAATATTTTGACACTTTAACAAAAATTCATTGAAAATATCATCTTTGATGGCGCATTTTCTTTCCAAGGTATTAAACGCCATTTTAGCGAACGTCGAGTTGACAATAGTCACTTCAACGGTCAATATCTCGAAAACTGCCGGGGGATCACCGGGATCATTCCAGCAGATTTAAAGCTTATTCTTTTGTCTTGACGACTACCAAAAATGAAGAAAATCGAACCATGGGAATTCTAGATATTTCATTTTAAACATTGTAAACATATTTAGACTTGAGTCAACACGTCGCGGGGAGTCGACTAACTTCAAACATCAAAATAACATTGAAAATAACATTTACCTAAGAGATTTCTGCAGATATCACCAGATCTTTATCAGTAGTACTACTACACTTGAAATTTTTCAAGAAAATTTTAATATTAATATTTTTTCCCGATTTATTTTCCATCGAATGCAAATTTTTCTGTCCAAATTCTGCAGATAACACGATGGAAAATAGAGCGATCTCATTGGTCGAGAGCTCACGTGACAACTCGCTAATTGCTTGTCGTACCTCCTCTGCATGCAGGGGAAAATTAGAAGACAAAGAAATCCTTTGTTTTCAACTAAATTTCCCAGGGTAATTTTGTTGAAAACAAAGGATTTCTTTGTCTTCTAATTTTCCCCTTGCATGCTTGATGAGGGAAATTTAGAAGACAAAAGCGTATGCATGGGTAATGAGGTAAATTAGTGATTAATCGTACCTCGCGAGACAAAGGATTTCGAGGCAACTATGGTATTATTATGGATATGGGTACTTCAAACATCCATTTTGTTAACCATATTAGTCACTGAATCCGATTAGGTGCCACTTTAGAGAAATTTAAAGTCGAATTTGATATGCGTACAAAGCCGTATTTGAGCCCCGTTTACACTACACTCATTTTTGGCACGGCACTCTTTAATAATGGCACGCGGACCAAATTTTTAGGCACGGCACTCTTCATTTTCGCAGCGTAAACGCAAAATTAAGGGTCCGCGTGCCATAATTGTTTGACGGGCCGAGACCTTTTCAAGGAGGTAGTCTCGGCCCGCTTAAAATATAGCACGCGGCCCTAAAACTAATTACGTATGCGTATTCGTTGGAAACGAAAACAAGATGGCGTCAAAAACAAACCCTACTTACACTTAATTGTGCTGTATATATCGGATATAGAGTG